CTGCAAAGAAATGATGCTTGATTTAGAAAGAGCAGAAGGGTACTCAAGCCTAAGACAAACCAGTCAACAAGCTCGTCTTACCATTGGCGTCGTCCTTGGCCTTTTGCAGCTCTGTCTTGGCCAATTCCAAGTCAAGGTTCAGTTGGATCTGTTGTTTCTCCAAGTCAGCAAAGCGAGCTCCAAGATCACAAGATTTCTGCAATCAGGGAGGAGAAGTTATTTTACAGCGAAAAACGACAAAGACAATAAATACTAAGACTACGTTCGACTGGCCGTAGTCCACCATAGTCTCGGGGACTACACCCAGTGGGTGCACTTTGCGTGCCCCCACCGGTTATGATCCCACTCGACCGGCCCGCTGGAGTCGAGTGCAGGGAGTAAAAAAAAGGAGAGAAAGAAGAACTCAGACCCTAGTCGACTGCCAGTAGTCGACCGCGGTCTCGGGGACTACACCCAGTGGGTGCACTTGGCGTGCCCCCACCGGTTCTGATCCCACTCGCCCAGACCGAGTAGAAGAGACAAACTACCAGTTCGGTTTACACTCGACGCAGCCAGACCACATCGAGCGAAAGAATCAAAATACAAAGACTACAGTCGACTGCCAGCAGTCCACCGTAGTCTCGGGGACTACACCCAGTGGGTGCACTCAGCATGCCCCCACTAGTTCAAAAGTTCAATCGATGCACCCAGTGGGTGTACAGATGCAAAGATTTTCGGAAAGAGAGTCTTCAGATAACATATCCTACCAGAACAAGCGGTGACCAACTAATCTGAACGTTGCTTTGGAGAGCCGAGCTGGCGTCGTAGGCGGCCTGACTGGCGTCCCGCACCGTCTTCATCTTCTCCATCATAATGCCCGCCTGGCGTATGGCTTCCTTGGCAGCATTCACTTCGTCCTCTGGGACATGATGGGTCGCAAAAACTGAAGGTGGGTCGACAAGGGCCTGAGCAGTCGACGAAGAAGGCAAGGCACTCGACAATGGCACGGCGAAAGTGACAGAACCCCGATTGGCATCACTAGCGTCCTGAACGACTGGTTCGGCCCTCGGCGTCGACTGTGGCACCTTGCTTGCAGGAGCTTGCCTATTTTTCCTCGTCAAAGGCCTCTTGGGCTCATCATCATCATCATCGGGGAGGTCAATAATGTTAGGAGCTGTTCAAAGTTCAATCGCCAAAATCACATCACCCAATGGTACACATTGCAGTTGAGTCGACCAAATAAAGACAGAATGGCAGAAATCATACCCAGATTGGAAGTGACCGCATCCTCCATTACCTCATCGTCGCCCATGTAAGCTGAGGTCCCAGAAGTAGCAGCGCTGCCAGTTCCAAAGTTCCTCTAGTTAAATCAAGAAAAACAAACAGCACGGGGCGTCGAGTGAATACAAAGGGAGACACTCACGCAGAAGCGATGGGGATGTCAATCTTAATCTTCGGCAACGCCTTCCGAAGCTTCGGCTCTGCAACTTTGGGATGCTTTGACGCTTTTTTAGTTGGGGTTGGTGAAGAGGTCTGAGGACGCTTTAAAGACTGACCAACCTGAGCAATCGCCTTTTCACGGGCGCTCAGTCGCTCTTGGTCAAGCTTGGATCACCTCTCCCTGCGAGGAGGCGACTCGACTTCTTCTTCATCACTTGAGTCGTCGCTTTCTTCGTCCCCTTCACCGTCAGAACACCATTCGCCACTGTCGCCACCGCTCGCCTCTCCTTCCAGGTCTTGCTCTTGCTCTCCGTTGGGCATTGAATACATTTCGATAAGGGCCTGAAAGAAAGCAGGAAGAATAAAGTCAATCGACGCAGTATAGACAGCTGCGCGAGTGAATTCAGATTACAATCAAAAGCTTAGAACCGGACCTTCTCTGGTACATGGGACTGGTCGAATGGAGGAACCCTCCTGGCTCCCCTGGGGTTGTCCTTGTTTCCGGTCATGCCCGACAGCCACTTCTCCAGTGTGTCGTCATCGACCTCCTCCGGGTGAATCCGAGTGGAGTCGTCAAGACCCGAATACATCCACATCGGATGGTCTCGGGCTTGAAGAGGCTGGATGCGCCGCTGAAGAAAAACCTCCAAGAGATCCATACCGGTGACCCTGTCACGGATAAGCTGGACCACTCGTTCGACCAACACCCTAACCTGCGCCTTCTCCTCCGAGAGCACCTTCAAAGAGGAGGGCTTCCTCACTCGGTCCATGGTAAAAGGAGGGAGGCCGGTCGACTGCCCTGGCGTCGGCTGGTCTTTGCAGTAAAATCAGGTCGACTGCCATCCGCGAACCGAGTCGGGAAGAATCATGGCTGGAAAGGAACTTTTCCCTCTCATCTGAACACCAAGACCCCCACACATCTGAATCACTTGTGTTCTCTCGTCACTCGGATTAGCCTTTTTCACCGTCTGAGAACGACAGGTGAAAATGTGCTTGAATAGACCCCGGTGAGGCCGACAACCCAAGAAATTCTCGCACAAAGACACAAAGGCAGCGAGATACACGATTGTGTTGGGAGTGAAGTGGTGGAGTTGTGCCCCAAAGAAATTCAGAAATCCCCGAAAGAAAGGGTGAGGAGGCAAGGAAAATCCACGGTCGACGTGGGTGGCAAGGAGAACGCGCTCACCCTCCCAAGGTTGCGGCTCGGATTCCTTCCCCGAAAGCCGCGCCGATCCATGGGGGATCAGCCCTCCTTCGGCTAGGTCGTCGAGGTCTTCTTGGCGGATCGCCGAGCGGATCTAGTCGCCCTGGATCCAGCCCTTCGGCAAGCCGGCTCGCGAGGAAGATCCACCCCGACTGGTCGCCTTCCCCTTCGCCTTTGTCGTCGCCTTCTTCGCCCGCTCCAGAGCCGCCGTCTTCTCCTTCCCCATCGTCACCGGCGAGACGCGTACGGAGCGGTGGCGCTGGGGCGAGAGCGATCGCGACGAAAGAAGCCTGAAGAGGAGAAGAGGAAATGGGAATGCACTATTCGAGAAACCCAGGCCCGACGCCTTATATGAGGTCGCTTCCGAGTGGCTGACTGGTAGGCCCAGGCGGTCCTGTCAAATCCCGTAACAATCGCGCGCGCGATACGTGGTGAAAAAGGTGGCGTAGAGATCAAAGCGGCTCCGCCCTATCCCATCCGATTACTGCGGCCTCCCCCGTCCCGCGCGCTTCCCAAAATTCAAATCCCGCGAAATCTGCGGGCAGCAGAACAACTTGTCAGACGAAAGATCTCCTCCATGCCGTCACTCGGAGCCTTTCAAGTAAAGAAACTCACTCGACAAAAACTAAGAATGGATCAAGGCGACTGAAAAGGAAGTTGCTATCATCACTCAGGTTCATTGATCCGAAACAAGATATGCTCATGGCATGAAAAATGAGTCGGAGAAGTTCTCAACTCCTTCCCCACTCAAACCTCGATCCATTCGGGGGCTAATGATGAAGCTATGTACCTAGGGTAGGGTCATGGACCTGTCCCAACTGCCCTACCCAAGGACATCTCTAGAAGAAATCACCTTTCAATCGACTTGGAGGTGTTCCACTCGACAGTCTCGAAGACACTCGACCAACAAGCAATCACTCGACCAAGATCCAACCACTCGACGGCCAGGAGACCTAAAGGCACTCCGCACGCTAACGGTCGGTTATTAAATAGCTTTTATGGTCATCATAGCACTTTATTAGGGGCGTTACGAGTAACGCCCGACCTTAATGTATTTAAAACCCTGCACAACTGAGGGCCGGAGGGGTCCGGCGAACTCTATATAAGCCACCCCCTCCTCAGTGTAAAGGGTTCGCACCCCTGTAATTCATACACACATAATCCAGTCGACCGCCTCCGGGCTCCGAGACGTAGGGCTATTACTTCCTCCGAGAAGGGTCTGAACTCGTAAACCTCGTGTGCTTACAACTACTCCATAGCTAAGATCTTGCCTCTCCATACCTTCCCCCCTACATTACTGTCAGACTTAGAACCACGACACATATCTCATGCATCAACATTCACTTTATACACATTAGCTCTGGTATGGTTCATTTAGCAACCTTGGTTTGCTCATCATCAATCGCCCTAACTGAGTTAGCTATGATTGCATTTCTCGCCAATGCAATTATTGGCGGGCTAGCGATCCTAATTCCCATAACAGCTTCTCTCCTTTGCCACCAAATATACCATGCACCCACAATGATAGACTCCTGTAGACCAAGATGCTGAATAGTTGGTGACCGTCGGTGTTAGTTCCTAAGTAAGTTTTCAAGGACGATGTTGCCAGATCTATCAGTTTTAAGTGCTTGATCAATCACCTCCTTCAGGACCAGAGCTCTCCAAACTTCTCTAGCTCTTGTGCATGTGTACATTGGCTCTGGCAAGTAGCACATTGTCCAGAAACAGGAATATGTCAATTTGCTAGCACCGAAAAGCATGGTATGATCCCATGCAAAGCCTTCAAACCGAATATTTTCAATTTACTTGGAACATTGAGTCTCCAAAGGATTTTCGAGACATGATTACTAGTGGAAGGACCATCATCTGAACCTTTGAGGCGCCCAACAAACTGATGGCTCCATTCGATGTAGTATATTGATCTAATCGAAAAATTATAAGACTTTGTGTTATGCCAGCAACAAAATCATCAGCCATGGTTGCACTCAAGGGTATTCTCAAAATCCTTTCAACAGCCACCGAGAAAAAAAAATCATATGTGATTATATCCTCATCCCAATCTCCCGTAGTGTATAAGCACGGTAGTAGCTTTTCCCGTCGAAGAAAAAAAATGTGTTTTTCCTTTTTACTTTTTGCTTGAATCTTTTTCCTCCAGATGATATATGGGCCGTCACAATGGAAGCGAATATAACCGAATGTTACCTGGCAAGGCCCAATACAGGCCCGTCCAGCACTCTCGCTTGGAAAGCAAGAAAGAAGGTTACCGGAAAACTCCTCCCCCATCGACGGGAGCTCTCCCCCCGTCCTCCTCCCCTATTTTTCTCCAGTCGCCGCTTAGCCAAAACCCCCGAGAAAACCCTCGCGCCCCCTGCCCACCATGCGCCGCCTACTCCGGCCGGCGAAAGCGGCGGCCTCCGTGGCCGCCGGGGCCGCGGTACTGGCGTCGCTCGGCGAGGTCGCGTACGCGGATAGCGTCTTCTCCTTCCGCCGCCAGCCCGCCGCCCCTCCTCCTCCACCTCCAGATGCCCCCGCCCCCGCCGCCGCCTCGTCCGGCTCCAGCGGGTTCGACCCCGAGGAGCTGGAGCGCGGGGCCCGCGCGCTGCGGCAGATCAATGGCTCCCGGTACGCCAAGCTGGTAAGCTTCTCGCGCTCTTGCCCTTATTACCCGGATTATTGCCCGTTCTGACGCCCCCTGCTGTTGTTGGACTTGGCCCCAGCTGTTTGGGCTGATGCAGAGCCAGGAGGAGACGCGCCTCGCGGAGATGGCTGCGGAGAAGGTCCGCCACGATATCTACTGGAAAGTCAAGGAAATCGTGAGTTATTCGCGGCTTTTCCCCCTTTCATGCGAAAATTGCTCCATGTCACTCAATTCCAATGCTAGACTGCTCGAATCTATTTTACCTAATCCGCCTTTTGAGCATTCTCTTTCTGTATTGTTTGAGTTTGCGACTTCTCTGAAATGTAGAGCATCCCATTCGTTAACCATTAATTTGCTTAGAAAGCTTCCTGCAACAACAACAACAAGACCTACACGCAAAAAAACAACAACAAGACCTGCTTAAGAAAGCAGAGCTGTTAACATTCCAGTCTGGAATAAAAAATCTAGGATCTGACCATTCAAGTGGTATACGTCATAATTCATAGCAAATCACATCCTCGATCTTCGTGAGTAGCAAAGACTCACGGATTTGGAACTTCATGGCAATTAAAACTGGAACAAATGTGTTATGTCGGATAAAATTTCATCTGTGCGTCTAACTATGATGATGCATTGAGCCGTCGTACATGGCTGCTGCCAGTACACTCATATTTTTGTGTTGACCCTTATCTGACAGGAGGCGAAGCGGAAAATGGGTGAAGAATATAGAGAAAATTTGAAACAGCAATCACAAATTGAGGCACAAAGGTTACGCTACGAGGATGAGTTAGCTAAGAAAAGAAAGCAGGTATTGAATCTTCCACCCTCTTAACTACCTTTGTTAATGTTTATATCTATGTTAAGTTGGTGCTATTTCCTGTGGTGCATTGGGTTTATAAGGAGAACAATCAACACATGGTTTAATCAAGCACCTATTTTGACAGGAAGAGCGTGAAGCTGAAAGACGACGGGATGCTGAACTTGTAAGGATGCAAGAGATTGGTGCCTTAAAAAGAGAACAAGCTAGGCGTGCCACAGAACAGAAGATTTTAGAGCAAGAGCTACAGACTCTGAAAGAAAGGGCTAAAAATGATCGTGAGACAAACAAAGAGAATGCTATTTCTAATGCTAAAGCTAAAGCTCATGAAGCAAAGCTGACAGAAGATTATGAAAGAAGAATGCTTGTGGAACTCATGAATGGCGAAAAAGAGAAGTGGCTTGCTGCAATAAATACCACCTTTCAACATATAGAAGGTTTATATACTCTTGCTACTCTGCTTAACTATTGTCGTTTATACTTATTTAAAGTCACATAACTACTTTGGTCAATCTTGCAATTTTCAATTATTTGATCAGTGTCCTTGTATTGAAATTTTCTTCCAAGTTAAATGAATAAGATTACACATCACTTAGCGTCCTGTTTCTACATTATACCATGTCTTCCTTCCTAATTTCACATCAAAACAGCTGGATGGTCTGTTTTCAGCGGAGATCTTTCTTATGTGTGCTTTAGATTTCAGATATGGATTGGGATTTCTATTTTTTAAATAAAGAAATCATGATTAGTTCCAGTTTTGCTCTAATTTTGATACCAGTTTCTCATGTGGAAGTGCAGGTGGGTTAAGAACATTATTGACTGATAGGAGTAAGCTAGTAATGGGTATTGGAGGAGTCACTGCACTAGCTGCTGGAGTTTACACTACTAGGTTTGTCTGGCGATCATATCATTTTCGTTGTCACAAACAATGATATGGACATGTGATGGTTCTATTTGATTTTCATTCAGGGAAGGAGCCAGGGTTACATGGGGTTACGTCAATAGAATTTTGGGTCAGCCTTCACTGATTCGTGAATCATCAATGCGAAAGTTTCCATTGCCAGGTCTTAAGGCTCTTAAACCTAGCTCTGCATCTCTGTCGGGAGGTGCGGGCTTTGAGAATGTTATTCTTCACCCTTCACTCAAACGGAGGATTGAACATCTTGCACGAGCAACTGCAAATACGAAATCTCATGATGCGCCATTCCGCAATATGTTGTTCTATGGACATCCTGGAACTGGCAAGACTTTAGTAGCCAGGGAAATGGCTCGCAAATCTGTAAGTTGATACATTTAATTTCTCACACTATCAATAGGGAGTTGTTTGTTGCCAATGCTCTTTTTTGGTGGGACTGTTGTGTATATTCAAAACCTGACTGGGTGTGACTTGATTGTAAATTTAAATTTAACTAAAATGTGAATTTTACCAAAGAAATCTTGGCCAATCAACTTCAGCAATATGTCAGTTTTATTTATTTATTGTGAAGACATGTTTTCAGATTGAATCTGTGTCTGGGCTTACAAGGCTCATTTGCATATTTGAACAAGAAAAACATCAACATCTGCAGTACCAAATCAATATCACTAGATAGTATATTTCCATATGTATTTATATGAACTTGTGGCTGTCAATACTTTTTTTGGTAAATTTGAACAAGCTTGACTGAAGAAAAAACAAATGAGCCTTGTAAACCTGGACGGAGAGAGTATGCAGCAACCATACTGCTCATGCTTTCATTTTCGTATTGAATGTTTAAGTTCAAAAGAGAGTGAAATCGATGAAGTTCCCTTTTCTAACACTAGGAGCTGTTAAAACTTTACTAGTAAGATACTTCTGTTTTGTAGGGAGATTTGTAGGAATTCCATTTCACATTGAAGATATTTGTGCTCACACCGTTGTACCCTTCACAGGGCCTTGATTATGCAATGATGACAGGGGGAGATGTTGCACCATTAGGATCAGAGGCTGTTACCAAGATCCATGAAATCTTCGACTGGGCTAAGAAGTCCCAAAAAGGAATGCTTCTTTTCATTGATGAGGCTGATGCATTCTTGTGCGAGTAAGTTTACAACTCAATCACTTTCTGACTACTTGTAATTATCTATAATACGAATAACAATTAGTAAATTCATCAAATCTAACCCTTTAATTGAGGTGTATAATTATGTTGCCCAAAAGTGATTTCAAACTCTGTTTATCAGGTTTTT